CAACTTAAGATTTCAACATAATCTTCATCTTATTAGTCTTACAAAATCCACCAAAATTTAGCACACATGGAATCCACATCTAACTCAGTGCCTTCCTACAACAGCTCAATCACCTCCAAACTATCTTAGAATTGGTTTAAGATATATAATTTAGTGGTTATTTGGATTTAACATCTAAGGTTCACTAATTTTTTTTATCTATTCAAATTTTGAATCAAACTATTTCTTCATTATGCAAAACATAAATCTTGTGCGCAAAAATGTCAAATTTCACATGAATAAGTATAAATTGACCTTAACACGTAACTTTTTCACAATTTATAATCTAATATATGATTTCAAATATATGTATATAGGAAAAATTATTTAACTCACACAAGCACACAAAAACAAATAACTAAGTTGAAAATAGATTTTTTTTTTTTTTTCACTAGAACACGCATGCAAACCTATAGAAACTCAATGTTTTTCCACCCCCAAACTTATCATAGACATTGCCCTCAATCTCTAAAAATATAACACGCAATGCATAAAAATTAAGGGAAAAAAAATGAACTAAGTACTCCCCCTGATATATATTTGAAGGTGGTGGATGGATTGACATAAAAGTTCTGGCTCACTTGCTATGACTTTTCCCTTTTCCAATGTATTCAAATGTCAATTCCTTCAAATAGTAAAAAATCAATCAAAACATGGAACAATTTATGATAAACTCTAACACATCCTAAATGAAAATATATGGATGAAGATACCCTATACTAATTAAAAGAAATAATATTTATAAGTCTATATTCTAGAAAACAAAGTTAAATAAAAGAGAATAAAATTGGGTTGCCTCCCAATAAGTGCTTGTTTATAGTCATTAGTTTGGCTTTATTGTTCGGTATCATGGAATTCTGAAGAAAGCTTTTGATGCCTTGCTTAGTTTGCTTATTTTGACTTTGATCCACTTTTTATTGATTCTCCAAATCTTAACTTTGCCTCGTTTAATATGACATGCCATCCGATTCGAAATCAATTATGTAGACTTCTTCTTCCTCGAACTTAATCACAAATTCAATTGTTGGACAATTGATGATGTCGAAAGAATGTGTGTTAATTTCATCATCATTAATTGCCACTTCTTCGCTTGGTTTCTTTGTAATTAGTTTGTCATCCTCGTTATGCTCTTCTTCAATAATTGATATCTCCTCGAGTTGAATGGTCGGTTCACAATCTAAATTCACCGGTAATGGTAATTTTTTCCTTCCAACCTTTTCACGCGGATTATATCCCCACCTTTTAAATTCATTCCAGAATACAAAATTTCATGTGCATATTTTGCTTTCATCCAACATAGCAAGGTCATTATAATATTTTGCAAGTGCCTCTTCGTTCAATAGGGGAGGTCCAATCCCTTTAAGAATAATGTCATCCTCTGGATGTGTAGATACATATTCACCCCCAGGCATGTAGCTTTCATCATATTTGTCAATTGCTTGTTTTCGACATCTTAAATATTGTTAAAATCGCAGAAACTTGGACATAAAGGGATTAGTGCATGTATATAGGCATTGCCCAGTATAATGCATCCCATTACAAAGCTCACAATTTATGTCTTCTACAAACATATCCTCATTGTCCAAGTTGAGATTACTTGTTGCAAAAATTTTACTCCCTTGCCATTAATAGAATTCTGCATATACTGTTGAATAATACCTAAAAGAATACCAAGCATAAAAGCATCAGGATGGGTAGCTAAAATTAACAAAACAAAAAAAAATAAAAAAATTCAAATCCTATATAAACTAATAAACTCAAATTAAATATTATATTCCTCGGTAACGGTGCCAAAAATTTGTTCGTACAAAATCGGCAAGCGTACGGGATCGTTAAAAAGTAATAGAATTGATGAGTTAAAAGTTATCATCCGATTGGGAATAAATTCAATTCAAATTTACTAGTTATGTATGGAATTCGAATTGTGAAAAGAAAATAGAGATTTTGATTTGATTTTATGTTAAATTATCTAAGAAAGCGGTAAAAAGTGTTTTGTATCAAATTATGGATGATTGTATTGGATTTCGAATCCGCCTATTGCTATCTATTTCAATTCTTGATTTGTAATCTAGTTTCGTTCATGCGTTCCTGACAAACAATAATTCTATAATAATTAACTCTCCTTTCGAAGACAAATTAAATATATTATAGTCACGACCTAAATCTATCTTAGACTGAATTCAAATGATTAGAATTCATTAAAATTTAGATTATCTATATGATTGCACACATAATAAATGTTATTCCTAACATTTATTGCACATATGTTAATTTTACCGCGTTCTAAACTTATTATGAGTCTTTCCATACTACAATAAATAACTCATTATCTAATTGGTGGCCAATCAATTAAATAATGCAATGAGTATGCAAAATTAATCAAGAAATGCAATAAATAAACTGAACTACTAGGCTTGAATTAAAACAAACAAACAATATGGTTCATCTTCATCCAATACAANAAGAAACACAAGAAATAAATTAAACAACTAGTCTTAAATTAAAACAAATAAACAAATAGGGTTCATCTTCATTGAATACAAAAACGGATCTAGCCTATCATGTTAATATATAAATTACATAAAGAATAATAAAAAAATATCACCCGGATTATGAAATAAATCAAAAGATGTTGATCTTTAAACTCAAGGTTGAATTCTTTAAAATCTTGATGTAATTGACATTCAATTCCTTGCTATGACTTGATCTCCTCTCTCAAAATATAGCAATTGACATCTTGTTCTCAATAAATTTGATGAAACCATGGTGTATGAAGAGGCAAGAGAGAGTTCTTCTATGTGTAGCCCTCGTTCTCTATTTATAAGAGTCAGAAAACAGGCCAAAATCGCGCCCAATTTGATTTCCAAAAAAATTTGAATCGCGAAAGGAAACTAAATATTCGTCTACGAAAAAGGCCAGTGTGCGCGTCGTAGAACCAAATGGCTCTCGGGTTTGGGAAAATAGTGTCGTGTCGCGCGCCATGAATTGCCTACGCGCGCAAGTTCGTCTCTGAACAGATTTCGATATTTTGGTCATAACTTTTTCCACTAGTATCCAATTGAACTGATTCAAAATGAGTTGGAAACATAATTCAAAGGGCTACAATTCTTGTAGAAATTTTCCAAGTCGAACGTCTAATATCCGAAAAATGGGTCTAAAGTTAAGGCTAAAAATTCGGAACATAACTTTTTCGACTGGAAATTGATTTGTAAAAATACTTCCACTATATTTCACTCATTTGACCTCCAATTGCATCAAATTGATCCAATATGATCTTCAATCATCGTTTTGT